AGATCTCCCAAGTTTTTGGAGATCAATAGTGAATATAAGTTATAAAAAATATAAATAATTGTGTAACAATAATTTAGTGTCTGATTAAGATCTGTTTAAGGAAAGTGACATTCATTTCTCCTTTTGTTGTACAGGCTACATTTCAAAGCTCTTCTCAACCAACCCCTCGCCACGCCTACCTTTCTCACAGCCAATCAGGGCAGAGGTTTTACCACCATGGCAAATAGCTATTCATTTCAGTCTAATGCAGATAGATGTTAGGGTTTGAAGATAAGATTCACCACTTACACTTTGAAGGCTTTTGGATTAAAGCTAAATAGCACACAACGCTTGGCATCATAGTGTAATGACGTAGAACACATGACTGCGTTACTGTCACATGCAAGTCATTTTCTGTTATTCTTCAGCTGGTAGACCTCCCTTTGCAACAGGGTATGCCATTTATTTCAGTATTACAGTGGGATGTGTCTGAAAGTTTCTTTTATGCATTTGAAGACGTCGGCAACAGCTGTGCCAACATTAGTAACATTATAATGCTACCACTAAATGGCACAACTAGAGTTAAATGTGGTTTTAAAACTAACTAAACAATGTAGGAACAGATTAGACTATATTTCCATGTTCTGTAACAGACCTCCCACTCAGGGCCGTCTATAACTTGCATTAACATTGATGAATGCACCTTTTCCCTAATTCAGAGAACAGGGAAATAATATTTTCAGATGATTTTAAATTGTAAATGTAATGTTTTTAGCCAACCAACTGAATTTCACAAAATTGCACTCAAAAACAAATTTTATGAATAATCTGTTTAAAAGAGCTTGTTAAAACAGTAATAAATAGTTGTGTAGAAAAAAATCTTTTGACTTGTGGTCTTTTTATTTCGATTTTTCTTTTGTCTGTATTATTCTTTTTAGTGGCACTGAATTATGTGGTTGGGTGGAAGTGTGTTTTGATATTGGCTTATGTAAATACCTTAATAATGATTAAATTTATTCAGCACTCAACATTTATTTTCAATTTAATTTAGAGCTTTTTTTTTTTTTTTTGACCGTTCCTCTTAAATACTGTGGAAATCCCCAGTACTATTGACCACATAGCACTTCACCTCATCTTGAAAGCATGCCATTCTATTTAGTCTGTCCTAGCCTACATTTCCCTTAAGTTTAAGACATCAGGAATAAACTATTGTAAGCTGAAGGATTACTTCTCTCTCTTTGTTTTTGTTTTTTTAAGATAAATCATAAAGCATACCACTTTACAGCTTTCCCTCTAACTCCTAAACATCTCATATTCTGAAGCCATTATAAGTAAATCACTTGATTTGTACTGTTAAATGGATAAATGAAAAATCTCATTATTTTCGTTTGTGGAACACAAATGGACATTTTTTTTTTGTGTTTCATAGAAGAAGAAAAATGTTTGGAATGATATGAGGGAAAGCAAATAATGACCGAATGTTTATTTCTGGATCAACTGCAATTTTATAAGTTATGAGGTCACCTGACAAGAGTACTGTTAGTAAAATGCCATGGAAGTGTGTGGTTAGCCATCAGAGACTTCCAAAAGGTCCTCTCAAAACCGCAGGAAGTTATGAAGGAAGTTGTGTAGGTTGGAACTTGTCTGCCTCCCTTTCCATACCACTCCTTTTACAGTAATTGCATTTACTGCAGAGTCTGAGAGACACCTTTTTGTGGTTGCATCTCAAAGATGAGATTAAGTTTAGTTTGTCAAATAATTTGCATAAAACTATACACATTCTAAACGTGGTCCAGTCTTGAGTGTTTGTGCTTATGTGCAAGTATGAATGAAGTGAATATCTGCTATAAAAATTTGTCAGTATATGCATGTAGAAAAAGAGCGGGAATTAGAGATGTGTGTGTATGTGTGTGTGTGTGTGTGAGAAAGAGAGCGAACACAAATTTAGCTGTTGATTCACCTCCGGCCCGCCCACTTACTGTTGGCCTCAGCTGTTTTCTTTTTCAAACTGCTCTCTGTCTCAAACCGTCAGAGAGTGAGCCAAAGTGAGAACTATGTGACTGAGTGATTCATGTTGAACATGACATAAACCAAGCTTCTTGAAGAAATAAAAGGCTACAAAACACCTCGATTCACTCCTTTGGGTTAACTTTAAGTGTATGCTCAGTGAATAACAATGAACCCATTTGTCGGTGACTTAAGTGAGCTCATATGTATGCGATAATCCGAGATTTCTTAAAAACGGCTATGCAGTCACTGTTTCCCTTTCAATCTGCCACGAAATAACCAAACTGCAGATTGCAACACGTTAGCCTAGTCAACTCGAGGACAAGAAAAACCATCAAAAGTGAAACTCCGTCACCTCTTCAGCTGTTTCAGACTCAAACGAAAGCCAGTTGTTGATCGCTCAGTGTGTTGTCCTTGTTCTGTGTGTTTAATGCAATGTGTACAGTGTGATGCTGGGTCAGTTAGTCAAATTAGTGACGTGAGAGGCAACATGTGACTAAACAGGCGGGAAGATTCAGCTCATCGGAAGAGAATAAGAGAGCTGCAGAATGTGAGAACCGAGTACAAGAAGAGCACATTTGGTCGATATCATCGTTTTTGAATGGAAATGAAAATGAAGAATGTATGGGACATTGAAATGGTTGGGAGGTTTTGTATGCAGGCCAGCCACTGGAGAGACAGCAGGGCGGAAGTTGACAATGCAGTTTGAGCCGGTATTAGAGAGAGAGAGAGAGAGAGAGAAGAAGGGAGGGAGAGTGAGTGAGTGAGAGAAAGCCTCTCATGACTCATGAAGATGGGCTCCTTTCGAAAAACAAGAAAAATACATTTACAGACAGCAAAAGAAACCGAATTCTTGGTGTATTACTTATTATAACAGGTTTTTTTTTTTTTAAATGAGATGCGTCAAAATGAAAGTGCAGTAGCAACCAATGAATGGGTCTGACTCTTCGGCTCTTTGGCAGGAAAGTACTGCATCACTGGGTACCGATGGTTATGGTTTGTGTTTTGTTTTTTTTCTTCGAGTTCTGTCTTCCTATAAATCAAGTAAGTGGCAGTATCCGAGTACATATATTTTTGTCTTTGCATTTTACTCAATGTTGTATTTTGCCAGTGCTTTGGATTTAGTTGTGGAGATGTTACAAGTTGTAATCATTTATGCTATAGGGCCAAAATATATTCCCGGGTATTTTCGAGGATATGCGGTTCATCCATATTTTAAAAAGCCGCACGAAAAACTATTGGTTGTCCCTTGACCCCCCTTCATGACGTTTTTGGTTCTTATTTGACAAGTTCACTGCATAAACTCATGTAGCCACCTTTCTGTCTCAAACTGATGAATATTAACAATGTCCGCTCTCCGTTAATCGCGATCAATTTGCGAGATGGAACCTGCGTATCCTTCGACTTCATATTCGGGATTTGAGAACTTTATTCCGAGTTCTAGGACTGAAGCTCCAAACATTAACAGGTGGGTGACAAGGTAGCTGATCTGTACGAGCTCTGCACAAATGTCTTTATTTGTAGGCAAATCTGATGTCAAATTGTTCGCTTTTACATTTATTTATGCAATTTCGGAGATCTTTCATCCTGTTTTTAATATTTGTATCTTTGGTTTGGGCAGAGGTGCCTGGTTGCTAAATGCTAAGTGACATGTGCTTGATAAGAACTGTGATGAGGCACGAGAAAAAACAAAGTTGAATCTCAGTATTATCTCCGAATTATGATTATTTATTTCGGTTTGTAATACATTTATGATTTTACATGCATTATAGAAAATTTGAGTTGTGCAGTGATGTGTCAGCCATTTTGAGATATGCAGAGTGTTTCTTTTATATATTTGCTCATTTCCTTTTGATTTGAACATATGAGATCAATTATTTTTCTTTATATTATGAAGTCGTTCACGCTTCTCTTTGGTAAATGTTATGCTATTGTGGTAACTGCATATCAGAATTAAACTTTTCATAAAATGAGGAAATGTTAATGTGACGTGGGGTTTATCAATTTTGGATTTGTATGTTTAATCCTGAAAATTCCGATTCTATTACAATAATAATACTGATAAGATAGAATTCTAAATATACTTTGAACAAGCATTGAGGGAAAATACAAGTCAATGCCATTAATGAAAATATATGCTAGAAATAAAATTACACAACATATTTACACCATATTTGCTGTACCTATGATACTTCAGAGTGTCTCTTATCCATGAAACCGAGTTAAAAGGTTGAAAAAAGTGCAAAGTGTCTACTGAGATGACAGGAAATGTAAGAGTTTACCCGGTGATTTTATGTTTTCTTAAATAAAGGGCACACACTATAAACAAATTCAAGTGCATTTTATATAATTATCTGATTTTTCTTTTAACAGAGAGAAATTCAAAAACATGTGCTTTTTAGCTGTAGGTTTCAGATATTTTCTCGAATGTTCCCTCACACACACGTGCCTTTCTCTGAAGCATCATCAGAAAAAGGGCACACATTTGATTTTATTGTCCTCAACTAGGTTTATAATATCGATCACCATCATTTTTCCTTTTTGGTGAAAAATTAATTACAAAACACAAAGTTGTGTAAAACCTTAGATATGTCATTTGGAACGAAGTTCTAAGTGATGACAAGGCAAAGATAGTCTTTGACATCATAAAAATTAATTGCTCATAATTTTAAATAATAAAATATCAGCAATTAAGTGCATAATTAGCAAAGGAAAAACAACAATTAGTAAAGTTTCATTACGTCTTTTATACTGTAATGGGTCTATTACATGTTCTACAAAGTAATTTTTTTTCTTTCTCTAAAACACAATACTGTTACAGAAATGTGATTTATACCACTGCACTTGGTAATGTTAACTATACAAAATATATACGTGGAATCCTACTTTTGTCTTTTTTTTTTAACTCATTTCTTTTTTATTATAATACCAATGCCAATTAAAAATTAATCACACTCATTATGAATGAATCATAATATCAAATTAAGTGATTTGCATTGTGACTGATTTGTCATGTTTATCTCCGAGGACAACAGAGATGCACAAGTGTAAGTAGTTTCATATGGGAGTATAAAGTTTAAATTATAAACTAAACTAACTTGTTTCTGATGGTTTTATTTCTTCTGGTGTGTTATTAAATCACAAAAAAAGCAAAAGAGAGAATGGTGTTCAGGGCTGTACAGTGCGACATATATGTCGCACGTGCTATGAAAAAACTGGTCTGTGCGATGAATAAATGGACCACTGTAGCACGCGTGCGATACAGTTTTGCATGTTCTTAACACAGCCGCTTAATAGTGTGAAGTGATTTCGTTGTGCTTGTTTGTGTGTGT